TTCAGCAGCACAGCTCCTCATCCTTGAATGCGGAGTATGCCTTTGAAGACACTTCCCGCGATCAAGTGTAACAGGTAGCAGGTGCTCAGTCATGAACCAGTAGCCCATCAAAAACTCATCAGTAGAGAAAGAAGCGAAAAATTTTGGGAACACCCTCCGACCTCCCCTAGCAGTGAGGCCGGCGCCTTGGACGAGTTCATCATGAGGACAAGCCCAATCAGCAGGATTCTAGGTGCAACCAGTTCCCGGCAAGAGCATAGGAAATCGCCCTACGACGCTCCAGGCAACGCTATGTACACACGCATTCCGCTTGTAAGCCGTTGTCTTGCAGAGTTACAGTACGCGGTTGCACCGGTTGCAAAACTCACGCGTCTCTAGCTTCGTTATCTCGCCGTTTCGAGTGACGAAAGTGGTATATTCTCTGCGAATGCGGACAACGATGCCAAGTACGGAGGCATTTCGCGGACCACTTGATAGTGGGAACTGTCTTCAACTAAGCTGTTTTATAATATTTCGCCTGCTTTAGCTTGATTGTGACTTGTTATGAATTTTTACTATTTCGCTGAAGGAGACATTCTGTTGCACGCAATAAATTAATAAAATACAGCGTTAAAAATCAACTGATACGAAAAGATTACCTCATTTTGTTGCAGTAAACAACCGATCAAAAGGGCGACATAAGAAGCGACGACACTGTCCTCCATGTGGGCAGATGCCTATTGAATTCCACCTCATATTAATGATCTACTTCAACTGCTAGACACATGAAAATATACCTTGCTCATTGCATCTTGTACTGCCTGCAACATCTCGCTCTCGTTCATTTCGTTCAATTTTGCTCGGTCTAATCGTCCATCATCCCTACATTCCTCATCATCGTCATTATTATCCTCATCGGCGGGTTCCTATACAGCAGCTCAGTAAGTAGATAATGGCCAATAATAGAAAAGTTAGTGACATACTTCAAACGCCAAGTCCTTATCCAAGTCTTCATCAATATTCCGTGCTTTCGCCTCATGGACCGTGAACAGCTAAATAGAATCGAATAAAAAAACCGAGTACGGGGAAGAAAGCTTGAAAGGGCCAGAGTGGCGCGCTTCTCAGTAGCTTGGTCAGAGTTTTCCAAACTGCGCAAAACTTCTGTTTGTCTGGGAACTTTGTTTTCTTGGATCGAGCATGCCGGGGAGCAGTGCACGCCATCGCTTTGTGATCATTTCCTCAAAAATACGACCCCCCCCCCTAATTCCATCCTCAAATACAACTTCTTCCTCCCCATGCTACCTACCAGGTCGTCAGGATTTAACTATCATTTTCAACTATCGGAAATAGTAGTTGTATAGATCTTTGGCAGTCCCTCTCCCAACAACGACCAAATACCCCCCCCCGTTGTGAGATCATCATCGGTGTTGTCGTGCCCTGCTGGGGGAGTTGCAAAAAAATAAGTCAGTTAATTGAAGCCGTTATCGGGACAGGATGGTATGGGGAGTCCACAGGGCACTTCCAATCACCTCAACTGATCCATTTTGAATCGCTACCTCTAGGACGTATATAAGACTGCAGAGCGCAACAAAGGCAATAGAAGGAGAGAAAAGCAACCCCAGACCAGCTTGAACCCTTGTTTGCTAAGACAAAAGGCCGCTACCCTGAAGAAGGTCCCAGTGCTGCGACAGGCCGCGCGATGGTGGGTAAATTTACTGCATCAAAAAACGCAAAAGGATAGAGTTCTCGTTGTGATAAACCCTTTTTTGGAATACAGCAAGCACTCCACTTTAGCAATGACCTGGCTTTGAAATGAAGTATGGCCTAAACTATGTTGCTCTAAAATTTGACCTCGGTTCGCACAATGGTAAGTGGTGCCACGCCCCGTTTGGCTTGGTGGAGCCACCGCCGTTTCGCTTGTTGGGGGAGAGGGGAGCGGGGTGGGGACACAAGTGTAGTGTACTGGTCTGAAATGTCTCGGCAGCTTCACACTGAAATATGTACGCATTTGGCACACATTTTGATGCAAAGCTCCCACGACTTGATAGATTGGACTGGAGCTAGAACACAGTAAACACTTACAATTGCAAGCGCATCAAGTGCTTTATGCTCGGTATCTTCTCCATTTTCCGCATGAACTTTAACAGTTGTTTCTATAAGTTTCCTCCTATTCGAATTACATCTTTCTACCAAGTTGACACATAGCGAGGTCATCTAAACAGGACAATAAAATACTTTCGCTATCGATAGGGACCAAAATGATTCCACTTACCATCACATATAGGTCGAATTTCTTATCTTCCGGTGCAAATTTAGGTGCAAGAAATGTGTATGACGAGAGACAAAGTGGCAGAAAACCCGGAACCTGCCCTAGTTTTGTACAACATAGTTCTGTAAAACAAAAACTTTTGCAAATTGCTAGAAAGCAGAAATTTATGAGAACTTTTCGGGGTTTTTCGAGGTAGAAATTAAAAAAATGAAGACGATGAAAGAATGGTCAAAGGTCGTCGTGAGAGAGGATACGGCACCCGGCGGCGCAAAAGCGTCAGAATATTCTCATACGCTACATTTCTACTCAGTTCATGCATTCGTACACCGGCACACTAAGCCCTACCTTCCAGCTACACCCGCCTTTGCATCTTTTTGTAGTATTTTAATCTTTTTTTCCAAAAAATGCGCCTTTTCAGGCTGCGACCTATTGCCCGCATAGAGAAGCCGCGCCCACTCCGCAGAAGCTCCGCCCACATTCGAAAAATGATTCAGATCGACGGCCTCGAGTCAATAGGCAGAGCCTCCTCCGTGCCCCTGAACAAACCAGCAGCGCCTAATGTGGTCTAATTAATCAAGCATCCTATGTAAGGGGTGCATCCGATTTGAAGACAAAATGGTATTTAGGAATGCAACTGAATGTACTGTTTACCATTTTCATGAGAAAGGTTCATAAGAACTCGAGCCATCAGTGAGAGACAAGCAATATGAGAACGAGCCAATTGTGACCCAACAGCACAATTACTAATTGTATCATGAATAATGGTCATTAACCTAAAAAATAATTGATTCGGTACTCATAAATTTCAAAGGGAAGTTTCAAAAAGAAAAGAAAGAAAAACTAAGTCAACTTGGCGTCTCACTTCCCACACATTTGTATCAGTAAACTTCCACGATGTGAAATGAGGAAGGCTTGGTTTTTCTTGTGATACACGGTGCTCTGAAAAGTACCATTTGGGACCTTCTTCACCAGGTAGACCAGTTCAAAACCACTTACGGATTCTAGAATCCTGAAACATCTCTCCAGCACCACAAGCTGCTGAATTGTTTCGTCTTCGCTCAACTTATCGTGCAAAAGTCTCAGGACTATCTTTTCAACTGAAAGAGATTAAACTGTTGAATGAAACAGTTTCGAAGTTCATTAATATTCTGGAAATAGGGCATAACCAGTTCAAAACCGGCACCAGTAAAATCTACATTTGCTTTCAAAAACGGTGAAGTGAAAAACTGAACACTTTGCGGCTCTCAAACGACTGACGAAGGCGCTGCGGCCATCGTAAGCAATTATGCACGGCACATCATACGGTATGCGGTATAGAACTGCAACTTATGATAACCGCAACGCCCTCTCACTCATCGTGGGGCTCACAAATGCGTTATCACTGTTCGGCTTATCATACTTTTAGGTTGGACGGAAAGTCCTGCGACACTTTGATTGAATTGTTCTAGAAAAAGACCAAAAAACATTTTGGAATGTTTTTCATCCCTGATTAGTGGAGACTGTCCTCTGGGGTTTCTGCACATGGGTATATCATGACTTTGTGGAAGTTTTCAAAGCTTAAAAGTCCCTCAGAGATCGAGGTACTTTTCGACCTATCCCATATTATGAGTTCCTGTAGGGCCACTCAGCCGTAGTCGAGGAAACTAACACTTATGTTGCCTCAAGGGAAAATATCGCATTGCATCACCGCTTCCAAGCTGAACTTATTTGATTCGGAGGTAGGCAATGTATAGGTCGGCCACCAGCACAGAATGACGGCCCTTTACTCAAGCTTCTTGAGGCGCAGCCGAACGTAACCACCAGTAAGTTGGCAACCTCTCTAGGCTCCACCTAACTGACAACTGCCATGCTTCTCCGCAATCTCGGTTATCGGGAAAATTTTTTGTGAAGGATGCCTCATGAGTTGGACCCGTCTGACAAGTCATACCGAATGACCGTGACTGAGTTTTCTTTTCCTTGTACACACTGGAAGAACATTTGTGAGATCTTGTGGTTGGTAGCGAGTGTTGGAGTCCTTGCGTAAACTATGCACACATCCCTCGCAGGATCTCTCAAGGAGAAAAGTAGATTGCTTAGCCAAAAGCAGATGTGCATGGGATAAAGATTTCAGTGTGTTATTGGTGGGACTTCAAAGCGGTATCGCTGGATACTAGCACAGCTGTAAGGACCACAGTCCTACTCTAATCAACTTCACATGGATGACGTCACGCTTGAATTCATTCAGAAATACTCAATTTTTCTCTACTACTCGGCAATGCGAAGACCGCATGTGGGGATCAGGCGCCAAAAGATCATGGATCTCGATCAGAGAATGCGACCGTACCCAGCTTATTAAACCAAAGTCAGCAGCCTCTAATTACCACCACCTTGGAGGTGTCTTTTAGTAAAGGAAAATCTGGTCCGAAAATTCGGTCAAAGTGCCGCAGAACTTTCCGTCCAACCTAATAAAATAGCACCGTTTCTCAAAAACAGCAGCGGTAGTAACGGCTAGCAACTACGACAGCAAAGTGCTATCACAAAAAAAACAGTGACATTTGATCCAGAATCCCATACAACTTACCTTTTCCTACAATCCATTGCAGAATTCCCAAATTGAGCAACTCAGTTTTTAAATTTTCATCGGTACACCGAGCAAGGACAAACACTAAGGCCTCCAATACGAGTGATGACGGCTAAACAGAAAAAGGAAATGAGTATTAATGTCGACAAAACTTATTAAATGATCAAACCGATAGCTGTTCCATCGTGAGATCAAATACAATCTTCTTTCCAGCCGATTCCATTCGTTCAATGTAAGAGGTGAAGACTTCCCACACCTGAATAAAATTATGTTTGACTGATATTACGGTGTAACTAAAGGCAGCGCTATGGTCGAGCGGCGGGGCACATGGCGGCTCCTTGGAGTCACTTCTTTCGCCCCACGAGGCAATTACGAAAAGAAATAGACAGAAGCAGAAAAACTGCTACAAAAGCCCTACGGGAAGCGTTTTTTCGGCATTTTAAATCTGAGATCTAACCGAGGTGGTATAGTGACAAGGGCGGGCTTACCACTCGCGCGGTCCCCGGTTAAAATCCCGGGTCGACTCCCGCCCAAGCCTAACCAAGCCTTCCTACCCTTCCGGGGACGGTGAATTGGTACCAGATTCTTCCGGGAGGATAAGGCACTGACTTGTACATTATGATAGTGAAGGCCACATCGCATTCAATAAGCCCTGAATGGAAGTAAAATGCGTGCCGTATTCTTCAAAGGGATTGATCAAGGGCGAAGACTTTGTCCTTTATTCTTTATATGATCTAACTGCTTGAGAGGCCCATACGCAGAGAACAGCCTAGCCGAAGGTTTGGCAGGGCTGCTATCACGGAAAGCCCCCCCCCCTGCGATATAGGGCCGAAAATTGACCATTCCTGTCGTTTTCCTGACTACAACCCTATCAGCGCAAGATGTTAACCTTATATTTATCTTCGCTCTTCCATACTTAGCCTGGAGAGGGCAATAGAGCACTCTGTCGCGCCACAGAGTACCCCCCCCCCTCCGCAACCACAATGTTGTCTGGCTTAACTGTATCGTTGAGCACTGAAAATTAGAGAAACCGCTCACCATTGACGCAAACTTTTTCTGCTCTTCGTTTTGCTCCATTTTCTCTATGCGAAGAAGTTGCGAGAATAACCGAAGCGACTGCGCATCAACTTGCACCGAAATGAAGTCGCGAGACATAAGATAAATCACAGTAGCTGCGCAAAGTGCAAGATTCTGAAACAGCAAAAATTGAAAAATCAAAAGAGAGCAATGGAAACCGAGACTGACTATCGGAAATCAGAAAAATTAATGATCAACCTGGTCACTCGCAGCCTCTGCCATGCCTTTGAACACATTTGACACAAGACCTTCACTGCGAAGGAACTGCCGGAATTCAGATGATATGCATTTCCTCGCCAATGACAACGCGCTAACATTGTAATATTATATCGAACCCACAAACCGTGCCGATTTCGAAAGAAAAAATTTACCTCAGACATTTGATGTTAACTGGTGCTTTTCCCTTCATTGTGCTCAAAATGTACTCAATATCTTGCTTGAAATCGTCATGTTCCCCTGATTCTAAACACTGGTGCGCTTCCTTGACTCGGCCTACAACGGCTGCTTCGTTAGGCTGGCTGTAGATCGGACGTCGCTGAAACACACATCATTACTGCGAAGAATGTATCACGCTGTAGAAATTGTTAATTCCATAATATGACGATTTCTATAGGGTTGTACAACAAGAGGTCATCAGCGACGTCGCGCATCTCGAAGCGGTCGGCGTAAAGAAGAGTTCGCCGCGCACTGCACCACGACAAGCCGCGCGCGACGACGGACCAACCATGATTGTCTTACCCCACATGAATGCACTGTCACACGCGCCAGATTAATACGATAGCTCGAAACTGGCGCCTTTGAAGACCCTTTATACTTCACTGAGCGCCTGATTCGCGCGATTGGATCGCGAAATATGAACGCGCTCTCCTGAATCACCTTTTTTGACCAAGTTGTTATGGAGAGTGAGGTGTAACAGCTCGCAGTGAAATGTACCTCTCATCTAAACTGTCAAAGAATTTATTTCTAGGATAGCTTTCGGGGGAAAGGTAATTGGGGTGGCAGGCACGCGTTAGGCGACCGCGCCGCCGCATGTCTGGTACACACCCACTTTCCTATTCGTAATCGATTTCCCACACACTATCAGGAAACACTTCGAAAGATCATCTCAGAGAGAGGAGGCAGACGAACAGACAGGAATAGTTTAGACTGCGCGCGCATCGTTTACCTCCCCCCTCCCCCCCCCTCAAACTCGTCTCAGAACATCTGTCACTCGTGAAGCCTCCCTCCCCCTTCACTTTTTCGTCCTACTACCTTCCCTTCCTTCTTTTTCACTTTCCACTTACTTACTGCATTCCCTTCGAAAGTTTGGCCAGAAGGTGTCATGGGAAAACAAGCTCGGGCCCTCGCAGCAAGAGAATACTCACTCAAAAGAAGCCCGCCCTGACTCGCCCCACCTACCAAATCCTTTTATCATTCCTCTGCTACACATTCGTAACAAAGAACAAAACCATGAGATAGTACTCTCCATTTAGCCCCTTACTGCTAATCCCATTTCATTTATGAGGGTTATTCCTGATCCTGAGGGCCTGATCACGATAAGGACATTCATTTTTGGCACCAGCGCTATCTGTCCGCAACCTGCGGGCAACACTTTTATCAGCCAAATGATGCCACTTGCTGTTGTCAACAATGAGAAAACGTCGAACATCGAAGGGGTGAAAAATCGTGATCGCTCACCTGCGACAAAGAAGATGAACAGGTGGCAGCACTTGATGCAGCCCTGACATCTGCAGATGT